CCTCGATGAATGGCGATTCAACTAATACGCAACTGTTCAAAATAAAAAATTGAAAACCACTACATTTAAGAATAAAAAAGGGTCTTGTATAACAGTTGCTAGGAATCCGGTAAATGGAAAACCAATACATCGGCCACATGGATAATTTATCAAAGGAAAGGCTTTAATTCTTTTTTATGCTAAATGGTACTGGCACAGGAGAGACCTGACAACAAGTATGTGATGTTCACTAAGTCCGCCACTCACGCCACTTCTTAAAATGGACCAAATGTGGAAATTTTGGATTTTAACTCATACTCTAAAAAAATGGGGAAAGTTCCGCCATTCAAATATCTTTGAATTCAGCCAGTCCGTGAGAAAAATAAAAAAAGAAATCTCACCACAGGTAAATGCGACATGAAATATACACCAGTTGCCATAACCAAGCAATAGGCAGCATTGATTACTCGCGTCATTTTCGTTGTGCTAATCCCATATATACGTTGCTGCGCCTAAAAACACACCAAAAAGTACAGAATCTTTTTTTTAATAAAAACAAAATACAAATTTGAGAAAAAATATTTATTATACTGGAACGATTGAATAAATGCCCTACGGCGATTTGTATTCAAAACAACTAGGCTTTCCTTGAAGTAAATGTATCACGGTGATAAAAAGTAACTCGCCCCCTCCTCTCCCAACCCTCCCCTCCCTACTCACTTTTCTCTCTTCCACACCCCGCACTCTGTGGGAAATACTAGTTAATCCTAGTGATACCATTCTGTTAAAAGAAAACACCTGCTGGAAAGGCTGTCAATAACCTCCTTTCTTCCCAAGTTGCTTGAAATGCAGACCAAAGGTGGTTTGACTTCCTGATATGCTAAATGCACCAGTACAGGTCAATTCAAAACAAACTAGTAGCTCGAAAAAGGGCTGGTGTTCAGACTTCAGATGTATTAGAACCAACGGGTCGGATTTAAGAACAGGGATCAGTAAGCGTCACATTAAGTTTTGCAGTGTAACACATCGCTAATAAACGCAAATCGTCGGACTTACGAAATAATTCAGGATTCCTAAGGCGGAAACTAATACTGGGACAACATAATAAGGATCAGGCTGCAGCAGATCTGGAAACCATAAAATGCCATGAAAATGCGAGGCAGTTTCGGCTGAAATAACAATATGCATTAGAAAGGAAAAAAAAAAAGAAATGCACAGATGAGTTTACTGATTTGACACGATCCGAAACAGGAAATACGAAAAAAAAAGCAAAGAATGGGCAGTAAGCTATCGGCAACCACATGCTAGAAGCAGCCCTATTCTGAGGTTATTTTCCTCGACAATAACCCTCTGCTCGGAGGTTATTTAAATTCTCTGCCATGCTTTGCTCGCCAGCATTAATTCAGCCATCAAAGTGAATCCTGCAGGGACTGATTTTTTCACAGACAATATGAATCCAGCAGCTCAAACCACACAGAAATGGAACGGCGTTCACCGGTTACCATTCGTTTGGGACTCATGTACTGTAATGGAGTTATATCGGCATACTGGTGGTGCTAAAAATGCCAAAACTGAGCTCCAGAAAAGTACCGGTGATAACATTTCGTATTGCAAATGATGAGAATGTCCACAGTGAAACAGCGCAGAGTCTCAGATACTGAATGCGCGATAGCTGCAGGCGATGCTTCCAGCATACATCCAAAATAAGTTCCCTGCTCTGAAAAGCATCTGTTGTTCACATGAAAAAAACTACACGTACACATACATACATACATACGTACATACATACATACATACACACACACACACACACACACACACATAATGTCCACGATAGAAAAGAAGGCGCAATATTTACCATTTTATTAGTTTTCTGCAAAATCGACCGATCGGTTGTGTCCAACTGCAGAAGTCCAGTATTTGGGCCGGCGATAATGTTCAGATTATAGTGTTTGCTGAACTTCTAAAATTACTTTCTACAACAAACTGTACAGACAATGCACAGTTTCATCACATATGAATTAGACAATGGTACACTGTCTTTTACTTTGTCGACAAGCACTGAAGGGGCTGTCGCCTCGTGGTGTCAAAAGGTGTCCCATTAGAGAGGTGGTATCGCAAAAAGTAGCGCTACTCTCTTCTGCTGAAGATCGAATGCTCATATCGGATAGACTAAACTCTCCGCAGTTCATTCAGTCGTTCTGATGGTAACACATCCAAAGCAGTCCTCAAAGAGCAGAGCTAACGGCAACTTTGCAAGTATGTTACAAAAGGACGATGGAGCGCCCCCTTCGCCCTGCCCAATTATTCTTCGGTCCCCTGTGATATGCATATGTCCCGTCTCTTGACTCAAGTCCTCCTCCCCCCGTGATAGCCAAGGTGTTTTTTTTTGAGCATTCCCCCGCCCAGGCCTAGCTTCCTCCTCCTGATCGTTACACGGAAAACGCTGCTACTACTAAGGATAATTCAAAGTGCAAAATGGCATATTTAAAAAAAAAGGATGCCCTCTTTTATCAGAACTCTCATGTACCGCATAAGATCAAAAATACTTCAGAAGGTTAGCGAATGATTTTTTTAAAATGTCAATTTGAGAGGAACAACAATCTGACCTTGACGAGTTCACGATTTAGTGTACGGACAACATGGAATCTCTCAGCAGACAATCGTTCT